GCATCGGGAGAAGGTTCCTGGAACGACGTCGTCAATGGGGCCATCTGCAAAGAGTGCACTCGTCGCCAGAGGCTGGACGCGGCTTCGCAGCTCGCTAAGTGGAAGGAATGGGCCAAGAGTGCCGTCTCTGGAGGTGGCAAAGCGGCGCATGCCTTCTCCAAGCAGCAGGTCTCGTGTGGTTTTTCGCGAGGTACGTCGGATGATCCTCGGCTTCCAGTGGCTGGTCAGGCCGCAGTGCAAGAGCTTGTCGATGCGTGGCATCCGATGTGGTTTCGAGCTGGCCGCGGGCCAGCACCGAGCTCCTGGGAAGTTCCTGCCGACGAGCCTGCCCTTTCCCACTCAGACTGGAGGATTTACATCGAGTTTGTAAGATGTACGGGCCCGCGGCGGGCCTAGGCTGGGATGGATTTAACCCGCGGTGGATTTTGCAGCTGCCCGGAAGTTACCAGTTTCGGCTCCTGGAGATTTTGACGCTCTTCGAGGTCGACCCAGGGGCCGTCGTGATGTTCCTGACCAATGTGGTTTTCTTGGACAAACCAACGGGAGGGGTCAGGCCGATCGGTTTGCTATGCCTTTTCACGAAGCTCTGGAGCCGATTGAGGCAGCCGTATTGCCGCTCCTGGGAAAAGTCCCACGTGTACGAGTTTTTCTGGGGCTCAGGGCCCGACACGACGTGCGAGAGGGCCGGATGGGTCCACAACTTGCTCGGGGCGCATTGTCGTAAAGCAGGCTTCGAATCAGCGTCGGCTCTCTTGGACTTGGCTAAGTTCTATGAGAATGTCAACCACGGGGACCTCCTGGTCGCAGCTAAACGGTTTAGTTTCCCAGTCAGGCTGGTCAAAGCGTACTGTACCATCTATGTTGGCTACCGTGTGCTTCTTTACGGGGGAGCTTCGTCGGCCGTCGTCGAATCGAACGGGGCAATCGTGGCTGGGTGTTCGGGGGCTACGACGTTCGCCAAGATGTTGCTACTAGGACCGCTATTGGAGGCCCGTGAGAGCAGGAACTTGTTGTATGTGCGTAATGTGGTGGACGACATCACTGTTCAGTGTTGCGGGCCCAAGCATCAGGTGGCGGCCCAACTGGCTGGGGGAGTAGAGTCTCTGATCAAGAGTTTCAAGCAGCTGCAGCTCCCTGTGGCGTTTAAGAAGTGTGCCTACCTTTGCTCGAAGGAGGTTGAGGCGCACCTGTCCAAGGCCTGGTCCCTCCCCACCTCTTGCCGCACCGACACGGCGAGGAATCTTGGAACCAACGCTACCTTGGGAGGCCTCCGCAGGATCGGTATTCAGAACTCAAGGTTTGCAGGTGCGTCGCGCAGGGCCAGGAGGCTCAAGATACTAAAAGGAGGTGGAGCCGACATCGGGATGGTTCACAGGATGGGGCCAGTGGCATCGGCCCTATGGGGATCATCGGTCTCTGGGGTGGCCCCCACAAAATTGGCTGGGCTCCGTATCGGGGCTGCTAGTTCCCTAGGCAGGCTCCCTAAAGGTGCTTCGGTTGGGCTCAGGATGTACACGTATGGGCTTGGGGTCAAGGTAGACCCTCTGGTGGTTTACGTGGGGCACGTGCTTTTCATGTGGGCGACTGCAGTTTGGGAAGCTGTCCCTCACGTTCAGGTGTTGGCCAATACCATGAGGGTCTCGATCGCCAAGTTTCAGAATTCAGCTCAGCCCTGGAGGTCAGCGTCTTCCCCCAGCGACGTCGCGCTCTTGACGTTGCGGGGCATAGGCTGGGACTTTGTAGACCAGCACACCATCAAAGATGACTTGAACGTTGTGCATGACTTGCTCAGGCTCTCCCCGATGCAGGTCAGGTCTATGGTCAGGCAAGGTGCTGTGCGAGCGTCAGATAGGCATGCCCTTCTCTTGCAGAATGGCCTTGATGGGCCACCTGTGTACCCTATCTTCTGGGATGGCATTTCCAGGATGTTCAAGGAGAAGTCCGAAACCTGGGGGAAGCACCATCAGAGATGTTTAAGAGGTTTGGTCTCGGGAGTTCACTGGCCCCAAGCCCGACTTCATGCTCACAACCTCCACGGTGATGATTTTTGTCAGGTGTGCAAGGGGGCCCCAGGTACTTTGTGGCACCGTCAGTACGAGTGCCCTGCGCACGAAGCATGGCGGCGAGACCATGCGAGTGCTCACTTGGGTAGGTGTGCGCAGAGAGTGAAGCAGTTCGGGCCGCTCATGGCGGAGAGGTTCGCGAGGTGCATCTTTCCTCACCCTCGCTCGCTCTTCGACGTCGAGGAGCCCACGCAAACAGTTCACTGGCACGAGAGGCCCGAGACGGGGCGTTTGACGGGGTGGTTATTCCTGGACGGGTCGGCCAAATACATGGGCCTCGATGGACTCACTCGGGCTGGTTGGAGTATCGTATCGGTCGACAGGTTCGGGGAGTTGCTCTCGGCGGCCTATGGTCCAGTTCCTCTGAGTGCGGCCCCGCAGCAAACTAGCAAAGATGGGGAAGACTATGCTGTATATATGCTTACGCAAGTTGGTCTTCCCCCGTTTCAATGCTATATAGATTGCCAGAGCACTCTGGATTCGCTGTCTCGGGGCCCTGGGTTCGCGGAGGGCCCTGGAGCCCCCCGTGGTCATCTTTGGGGCCCCGTGTGGAGCTCGTTCACTCTCAGCGATCTCGAGTGCTTCAAGACGCTCGGCCACGCCACGGCGGCCGATGTCGAGGCGGGCAGGAGCAGTGTTTGGGAAAGACGGGCCAATGGGCTCGCAGATAAGTTCGCCAAACTAGGAGCCGAGTGTCACGGAGTCAGCGACGAAGAGGCCAGCCTGTACAGAGGCCTCAGGTGCCTCGCCCGCGAGGCCTGCAGGTGGGCTGGATCGGTGGAGGTACTGATGTCCAACGGGCCCCGTGACACTCCAGGCCTAGTGCCCAGGTCGACAGGCAGCGATGGCCAGGGGCAGCACTCACAAGAGGCTGATGCCCTCGGCCAGGCCCTGGGCGACGATCAAAGGGTGGTGGGAGGTTCTTCGGACTTGGGGGAGGAGTGGCGTTCATTCTCTCGGCAAGTGTTTCGGGCCAACGGCCATGCTTTTTTGGCCAGCCCTGTCATTGAACCTCCTGGAAACCCCAGGGGTAGGATCCATTTTTGTTGTCGGTGCGGATCGTTTTTCTCTGGGGCTCCCAATGCTGGAGCTAAAGGCCTGTGCAGGCCCAAACTCACGACGGGTGGAATTAATGACCAGCTGAGAAGGATTCGGCAGGGCAAGTTTCCCTCGTATAAGAAGGACCTGAAGAATTTGACTCTGGGGGCTCATGAGAGCCTGAGCCTCGCCCAGCAGAGGGTCTTGGCTCAGTCGCTGGTAGAGGATGGCCAGGCCCCCCAGGGAGTTTCAGGTCCTGTGAATGTCGGCTCCGCGGAGGGCTTCGCCCCGCGAGAGCAGGTGTTGGATTCGTTCGGCCTGTCCGAGTCGGATTTATCCTGGGTCAAGGACCTAGGGGCCGCCTCCCTCCGTGCCTCGGACTGCGGTTTCGAGTCAGACTCGGAGGCCTCCGATTTTGGCTGAACGAGGAGGTGCTCTGGCTTTAGGCCCGTCCCCAACAACCTCCTCCTCATCTCTAGGCCTCCTAGATGGGGTCGGAGTAGATGGGGTCGGAGGATCGCGCCGCATCGCCGATGCATCGGCGATGCATCGGCGATGCATCGGCGATGCGGCTCGATGTGGGGCTCGATTTTCTTCACGCCAACGTCGCCGATGCATCGCTGACGTCGCCAGTGTGTGGCCGATGCATCGCCGATGCATCAGCGATGCATCGTCGATGTATCGGCGATGCGGTGAGATCCCCCGACCCCATCTATTCGGACCCCATCTAGGAGGCCTCTATCCTCCTCCTCCTCCTCCTCCTCTCCGTAATCTCCTCCTCCTCATCTCCTCCTCCTCTCCCTCCTCCTCCTCTCCTCACCCCTTCTCCTCCTCCTCCTCTCTCCTCCTCCTCCTCTCCTCTCGTCGTCATCCCATCTCTCGTCCTTTGTCTCCCTTCCTCTCGGTCCTCCTCCTCCTCCTCCTCCTCCTCCTCCTCCTCCTCCTCCTCCTCCTCCTCCTCCTCCTCCCCCTCCTCGGGTCGCCTACGGCCCTGCGAGAAACCGTGACTCAATTCTTCCAAGCCAGACGTTTTCGCCCAGTGTCGAGCCCCAGGACCCTCGCAGATGGATTCAGCTCGAAAAATGACGCAGGACTATGGGTCCAGGGTTCCAGTCGCGATTTTTTTCGATGTCTAATTTTTTTCGAGACGTCGGATCTCAGGGCTAGGGGGGGGATATCATGCCGGGGGCCATGATATCTCCCCGGATTTCATGGCGTTTTTTCTTATTTTCAGTGCGTCCCCAGACCCCCCCCCCTGGGCCGCGCACATGCCGCCAGCAAAGATTTGCGCCCCCCCTCTTGAGCGCCCCCCTTCTTGGCCGCTCCCGAACGAAGGGGGTCCAGCGACAAGGGGTCGTGCATTAGATCTGGTGCAATAGATTTGGTGCGTGCAGCGCGTTCCGGGGCGCAATGGTGTTTCTGGGCTTCCGCGCGCAATACATTCGTTGTAATACCAGAGCAGCACCAGTCATTCTCCGGCGCCATACGTTTGCCATACGCTTGCCCCAAATCTATGGCACCACCCCATTTCAGCCGGACCACTTTTGGTGTCAACCAAAGGCGAGAGGCCGGGGACACACACGCAACCTGGGGGTTATGATGTTCCAACCTTCTTTAGAGCTTTGATCACCAGACAGAATTTCGAGCACCGAAGAAGTACGGGTTTTCACGCGTCGGGCCCTGGGAGACACTGTTTCCACACTGCTTCGACTCTCTTTCGACACTTTTCCGGGTGCTCGAGATTATTTCTGGGACGTCGTCCTTACGCACGATGGGAGCAACATAACCCAGGGGCACCGCCGACCCCCCCCCCAGAGCCCTGACTGGCGGGCGGGCCGTTCCCTTGTGGGCGAGGCCTCCTGGTGGCCCCTCCCGCCGCCGGCGCCCGGCTCCGCAGAGGCGCCCTCTCCGCCCTCTACTTCATGACGGTGCTCTCGGCCTTCCTGGGGGTCGTCCTCCCGAACCTCATCTCGCAGGCGTGCAGCGCCTGCCCACGGAGAAAACGGGACCCGAAGAAAGAAGAACAACCGCCACAAACAGCAAATTTCTGGCGCTCCGCGCGGGTTTCTTGGATCGGCGCATGCGGGCGCCTCCGGCGCCGCCCCTGGCGCGCCCCGCGCGCCAGGGAGGGGGGGGGGTCCAGCGCAGATGCAAGAAATCCGCGCGGAACGCCAAAAGTTTGATCTTTATGCGTTGATGCAGTTCTTTCTTGCTCAAGCCTGCCCACGAGGAAAGAGACAAGAGATGGCAAGCAGCGAAGAGCAGCAGGAGACGGTGCAAGAGGAGGGTCGGACGGCGGTACACACACCACCGCCCACCAAACCACCCCAACCCAACCCGAAGGCCCCGATGTGCCCTCCATTTCCAGTGGGGGGGTGGGGGAACATTCAAAAGCACAGTACACCCCCAACCCGAAGTTCGGGTCTCCGGGTTGAGTTGGGGTGGTCTGGTACGTTGTCAACATACAAGCTTTGAGGGGTTCTTAAGTTGGCGCTGCACCCCCCCATTCACACCCCTGGCGGCGCCTCTGGCGCAGTTCCAAGCGCGCTCTGCCCGCTGGGGAAGGGATGTGGGAAATGAGGCCCAGCGACGACACAAGATATCTGCGCCAGTTTTCAAATGGGATGCTGTTTATCAAGGTGGAACTGAAGAGAAGGATAGGCAAGGAGTGGAGGAGGATCACACCGGTCGAAGTCGGCATCACATAGCTACGGTGGCCAGGGGGGTCATCAAGACGCCATTCCAGATAAGCGTATGCCGAAGCCTCAATGCGGAGGAGCCTCAATGCGGGCCACGATGGCATATCGCCATGGCACGAAAAGGGGCAGGCATTGATCGTGCGTGTATCACAACGCGTGGCTCCACACGCGAGCAGCAAAGCCAGCATGTCGATGCGTATGGAAAGATGACGGTCTGCGGCATTGCGCGCCGTTGTACGAGTCGATGTGCGCAGCGGCGCAGCCATCGACGAACGTGGTATATATGTTTGTCCGGCCTCTGTGAGCGCATCGTATTTCCCCCATCCGTGTCCGAATCTCTGCGGTATGAGATCGAGCGGCAGCATTCCTGCACACTCCTTCCACGCGGGTCATCCGGCGCATAGAAGCAGGCGCAGCGGATGGACCGTGAGGGGGAAAAAGGCAGAGGAGGAGGAGAGAGAGGTGAGGAGGAGGAGGAGGAGGAGGAGCAGGAGGAGGAGGGGGGAGGGGGAGGGGGATGGGGAGGGGGAGGGGGAGGGGGAGGGCGAGGGGGGAGGGGGAGGGAGAGGGGGAGGGGAGGGGGAGGGGGTGGGAGGAGGAGGAGGAGGAGGAGGAGGAGGAGGAGGAGGATGGGGGAGGAGGAGGGGGAGGAGGAGGAGGAGCAGGAGGAGGAGTAGGAGGGAGGAGGAGGAGGAGGAGGAGGAGGAGGAGGAGGAGGAGGAGGAGGAGGAGGGAGGAGGGAGGAGGAGGAGGAAAAGGCGGAGGAGGAGGAGAAAGGGCGAGGTTGCATCGGGCCGAGCGGTGGCCTCCATATGAGTGAGCGCTGGAGCAGCCCGCGCGGCCGAGGCTACGGTCCACTCGTGCGCCACCGTCCTGTACTGCTTCTTCGGTGTGGGGGGGGGCTGCAGGCTTGATGTTGAGTCGGGCGTGTCCCTCTACAGGAGGAATCTTCGGGAGCAGTTTTCAACATAGTCTGGGGACGATGTTTCGTGCTCGTATGACTATGCTTGCTTCTTGTTTGGCTGTTTTTGATTGTTCATCCAAAGTGCGCCTGTAGGACCACATGCCCGACCTACGCTTGATGTCAGCCGAGGCGAGAGTGTCGCACCCACCGCTTCTGGAGAGACCTACCCTGGACTCTCGGGACCACCTTCTCCAGGGGGCGAGGAATATCAACATCCACCACCTCATGGGTCTCCGTGTGCACGACTACGGGAGCGTTAGATGCGTGCTCGTTCCAAAAGGAGGGCGTCTCTTCCGAGGGCCATACTAACTGCGGAGAAGAGTACAGTTGGAGCCCATGCCAAACATCACCCTGCTTGCCTACAAGGGTGCCCTGGGTTTCTTGGGTTTCGATGGTTTGCTATGGAAAGCGTGACGTTCCCACACCAAAAGTCAATGAACGCCCTGGGGTCTCAGGGTTGGGTTTCCTGTGGAAGGTTTCTCGTGGCCGAGCTCCTACTGTTGAGCTTCCTTGCGAGCTACAGGGGTGCTGCACAGCGTAGAAGTAGGATCCTTGGCCCCTTTCCTCCTCGGGATCTGCCCTCTGCGAGTTGTGATGATTGCATATTTTAGGGGTGCGGTGCCATGTCCGAGGTGCCCTGGCGGGATGTCGCCCCCCGTCAGGGACCCGCAAACATAAAAATGATACCGGAGAAAAAGCCACATCAAACAGTATGTTTAGGGCAAAGGGGCTAGGGGGCTATAGGGCTATAGGGCCGTAGGGCTATAGGTCTATAGGGTTATAGGGCTATAGGGCTATAGGGCCATAGGACTATAGGGCTGTAGGGCTATAGGGCTATGGGGCTATCGGGCTATCGGGCTATAGGGCCATAGGGCTATGAGTCTATAGGGCTATAGGGTTATAGGACCATATGGCTATAGGGATATAAGGCTATGGGGCTGTAGGGCTATAGGCATACAGAGCTATAGGTCTATAGGTCTTTAGGGTTTTAGGGCTGTAGGTCTACAAAGCTATAGGGCTATTGGGCTATAAGGCTATTTGGCTATAGGGCTGTTGGGCTATTGGTCTATGGGGCTATTGGGCTGTGAGGCTATAGGGCCATAGGGCTATAGGTCTATAGGCTATAGGGCTATAAGGCTATGGGGCTATAGGGCTATAGGGCTATGAGGCTACAAGGTTATAAGGTTATATGATTATAAGGCTATAGGGCTATTTGGCTATAGGGATATTGCGCTATTGGGCTATGGGGCTATAGGACTATGAGGCTATAGGGCTAAAGGGCTATAAGGCACCTGGGCACCCGTGCACCCGGGCACCCGGGCACCCGGGCACCCATGCACGCGTGCACCCAGGCACCCGGACGGGCCGCGGAAATCGGTGGCAAGTTCACCTAACCATATGAATCCGCTAGGACCCCTTACAGGGGCAAGTTCTGATTGGGGAACGTCCTGATCGGCGCCGCACCCCGCCAGTTTTTCGCCACTGCCCGTATACTGCGCGCCGACAGTCGGATACTGAGCCTCAGAGCTCTCGCCAGACAGCGGGCTCGTCCCCGTTTGGGGAGTGCGAAGTGAGGGAGGTACCGAGGGATCGACCTGTTGCCGTCGAGCTGGTGGCCCCTTTGTCCGACTCCTCCGTGTCCCACTCGAGCCGTGGCCGGGCAAAGGGCGCGGGAGGCGAGATGGGAGCCAGGAGCCGCGTGGCAGTGCGTGGCCAGACGATTAACAGGCCCAAGAGGCCGGGCAAAGCAGTCAAATCTTCGCGCACCTCATCCATTCCCGTCCCTCCCCCTCCTCGTCCTTTTTGCTTGTTCCTCATATTTTTTCTGCATCGTCCTCCTTCCCACCTCCCCCTCCAGCTCCTCCTCCTCCTCCTCCTCCTCCTCCATGTTTATGTCTGTTCATGCCCACTTTATTCCGACGTTCCTCCCTCGTCCTCCTCCCGCCTTTTGTTCTGGGTCGTTTCTTTGTTTGTAGCTCCGCTCAGCTTTCGAAACCCGCGGCCGTTTCGGTGAGACTGATGTGCCTCAAGGGGTCTGCTGGGCGGGATCTGCCGGGCGCTCCTGCAGACCAGGAGGCTTGCCCGCTCTGGAACCCGTTCTGGCAGCCATGGAGTTCCCTCTGCCCTGTCGGAGACGAGTATAGATGAAGGTGATGGTGGACGGGAAGGATGACCAGAGGCAGCAGAAATTGAGAGAGGAGGATTGGGAGAAGGAGGATCGGCGCGGCATAGAGCGGTCCAGTCGAGCCAGGACCGCCCCGAGCGCGACCTCGCGCCCCACGCGAGGCCGCAGTGGCGACGAGGCCCCCCCGCCGCGTGAGTGCGACCGCCCCTAGCACCCCGCAAGCGGGGTCCTAGACGGCCGCACTCACCCCAGGCCCTCGGGCCTGGCGGCACCCACAGGCACGGGAGCCACGGAGGCCACACGGGGCCCCCCGCCGCCAGGGTCCGAGGCGAGTCCAGCAGCCCCGCCTGGCTTGGCCCCCTGGGGGCCTCCAGTGCGGGGCGTACGCGCAGCAGCGCCGTCGCTCAGCCCCGCCGCGTCACAGCCGCGGCGGTAGGCGGCCAGGAGCGAGGCGACCACGGAGCTCCGCCGCGCTGCCTCCGCCGCCTCCGCAGAGCCCGCGGCCGCTCCCTCTCCCTCCTCGCCCCCGCCAGCAGGGCGGTGAGCCCGCGGCAGGGGCCCCTGGTGGCGCCGCACTGGCGGCTCTTCCACCCCTCTTGGGCCGCTCTCTGCCGCCTCAGCAGAGTCCGCGCCCTCGTCCTCGCCCCCGCCCGCAGGGCGGTGAGCCCGCGGCGGAGGCCCCTGGTGGCGCCGCGCTGGCGGCCCTTCCACTCCTCTTGGGCCGCTGGCGTCCCTTCGGCCTTCCCCATCGGCCTCGCCCTCCCCAGGGGTCGTGGGGGTCGCCGCGGCCTCTGCAGCTGCTCCAGCGGCGCACCAGTCCTCACCTCCAGCGCCGTCGCCGCCTCTGACGCCCTCCGCCGCCTCAGAGCCCCAGTCCTCACCTCTCATAGGTGGCACGCTCTGGCCACCGTCCTCGCCACGAGCGACGGGGCTCCCACTGATGGGCTCGGCGGGAGGAGGGGCGGGGCCAGCGCCCACCTCCTCTGCTGCTGCCGTCGGCTCGCCACCGCCAAGGCGCCGCAGCGTGACGGCAACCTCGCTCGCGATCCTGGGCGCGAGCCCAGCACGCAGGCGCGCGATAGCCGCGCTGCCCGCGGCCGAGGGCGGCGTCTTGCACTCCAGCCCGAAGCTGCAGGCGCGAGCGGCTCCAGTGAACCCGCACCTGGTGCATGCGACCAACGGCAACCTCCGCTCCAGCTCGCTGTCCAGCACAGGAGCGATGGCGACCAGGTCGTGCGCCGCGAGCCCCTTCTGCACCAGCAGCTCGTTGGCCTTCACCGCGCCCTCCAGGATGCTGCCAGGGCACTCGCCAGCGCGGTTGGTCCACCTGCAGACCTCACACCATCTGTCCTTGCCCTTCCCGCGCCAGCTGCAGCTCAGCCACGCGGAGGCTTCACGGCGCCGCCGAACCGCCCTCTTCGGCCGCTCCTTGCGATGGGTGGTGTCGCTGCCATCCACCCATGTGCCGACCGCAGTGCACCACATGGCCACCAAGTCCACCTGCTGCCGAGCCAGGTGCAGCTTGCGGCGATCGGCGGCCGAGGCACGGCCCTGGGCAGCCGCCGCCTTCGCAGCTGCGTCGGCGTACGAGTTGCCCTTCCAGTCGCGGTAGCTGATGGCGCCGTCCACGACCTGCCTCCTGGTGCGGTGGGCAGGGACCCATCGGAGGTGCACTGCACGACCAAGCCCTCCTCTGTCGTCCACCAGGGCCCACGCCAGCCGCCACAGGTGCGCCCAGGAGTACGCGTAGGCGGCGGTGTTCGTGCGACCCGCCTTGTAGAAGCCGTCGTACACGTACTTCGAGTCGACCACCAGCGTGACCACGCCCATGCTGAACCGCAGCGCCATGATCACCGCCATGAGCTCGCCCCCGTTGATGTCGACGTAGGCGCCGCACAACTGCCCAGCAACGGAGGCCAGGTAGCAATCGGCATCGGGCTGCAAGGCGACCACGCTCCAGCCGACCGATGCGAACTCGTCGAAGTCGGCCTCGAACGCGGAGCCGTCGAGGAAGAACTCGCCACCAGGGAGGACCCCGCCGTCGTGGTCGCCGCGCCAGCACACCAGGTCACTGGCCCGTGGCTTGCGTAGCCCAGGCGGCGTCGGCCACAGGCACCGTTCCAACAGCAGGGTGACCTCGGGCAGGTGGCTCCGCTTCCTGAGGTCCGCGATCTCCTTCGGAAGCGTCAGCACCTCTCTCCAGCATTCGCAATCGCAGTGGCGATGCAGGAGCGTCCCTCTGCCCCCGCACCGCAGGCACTCAGCACACTCGGCAAGGCCCTTCTCCTCCTTGCGCGCCTGGGGCCACTGCCCATTGACCACCAGGGAGTGGAGGTACGCCCGCTCCTTGAGGGTGAGCCGCACCTTGGTGCCCGCGGCGATACCGTCCCTCCTGTCCGCCACGCTCGTGACACAGCCAGTGGAGGTGAGCCTGATGAGCGGCTCCAGCGTCCCGCCCTCCGCCAGGTGAGCGCACCCAGGCGCCAGGCTGGCTTGTCTCCACTGCCACTTCACGATGGCCCGCTGCGCCAGCTTGATCACGATCCACGGGGAGATGTCAAACGGCGCAAGGAGGCCACCATCGTCCATCCTCCAGCAATTGGCCGTGACGACCTCCCAGTCAATCCTCCGCAGCGAGAGAAGCGTCGCCGCGCAAGGGCCCTGGACGTGGGCCCACGTGACCGCGCGCGCGTCCTGCAGGCATAAGACCACCATGTGGCGTGGCACCCAGCCCTCCCACACCGCGCGCAGTAGCATCTGCACGGGCTTGCACGTGGCGTCGACTATCGGGTCGAGCCCT